ACCCCCGCCCCCCAGCCTGCCCCTCCTCCTGCCGGTGCACGCACACACTGTAGAAGTCTGCCGCTCTCTTTCTGGGTTCTCGCTCCTCTGCTCCCTCTAGTGAGCCACAGTCTAACTGCACCCAATTCAATCGTCGGTACATTTCTCTGGGTAAGCAAGCTACAACATATAAATCAGGGCCATTCAAATATATCCAAGCAGATTCTGAAGCAATAGAGCACAGATGGTGGTATGAGGAAATAAACAGAAAAAATAAAGGAATATAAAAGATAAAAGAATGAACACAAAGTTTTGCAAATATAAGTTCAAAGGGATTTCTATTCTTTCCAGGTTTTAGACTAATAATGACGCCAGGCCAGAATTAAGTGATTCTATATCACAGTACTTACTGCTTTATTGCTGCTTATGTCTGCTACCTCAGGAAGGAATCTGTTCATTTTCTCAATAGTTTTTCTTCAGTTCTTACTAACTTAAGTTCAGTAGTTCTCTAAACTGTGCCTGTGTGGATCTTTAATACCAGGATGATGTCAGTCTGGACTCTTGTTATTTTCTTCTCACATCTTTTGGGAGGTGACTGATACTGCAGATCATACATATGCTCTCAATGTAAGACTGTAAGTTAGTCTGTCATTAATACAAGCCAAAGGTTTAGATATACAGCCGGAGTGGTGGCACAAGCCTTTAATCCCAGCACTTGGGAAGGCAGAGACAGGCAGATCTCTGTGAGTTCAAGGCCAGGTTTCCATAGCGAATCCAGGCTAGCCATGGCTGCAGAAGGTCCTGACTCAAAAAGACCAAAAGAAAAAAAAAAGTTTAAATATACTTAATGAGCTGGGTGTGGTGGTGCACACCTTTAAACCCAGCACTCAGGCAGGCAGAGGCTGACAGATTGTGAGATGGAGGCCAGCCTAGTCTATAGTGAGTTCCAGGTCAGTTAGAGCTACAAGGAGACCCTGTCTCAAAAAAAAAAAAACCCAAAATATATATGCTTAATGAGAACAGTATAAACTAAAAACCTTATTTCACCCAATTATCACATTCATGAACTAGAATCTTGAGATTTGAATATTCAAATTTATCAAATTATATTTGATTATGGTTAGACATTTCATTTTTTAACTGCTGCCAAATTCTTTGAAAATTGTAACCATGTGCAAAAATGTGAATAGGTTATTTGTTAAACTGTATACATTAAAAATGATTGTGATAAAGTTGGAATCTTTTACCTTCACGTACAGGTGACACCTGTTTTGTCATATGTAAAATGTGAATAATAAGCTAAGGATGGTGGCTTACACTTGTAATACCAGTACTCAGGAAGCTGAGGCAGGAGGACTGCTGTAAGTCTGAGGCCACTCTGGGCTGTATAGCAAGTTCTATGTCAGCCAGAGATACACAGCAAGAACCTGTATTGAAAACAAACAAGTAAATAAACTGTGGATAACAGTGGAAAGATCAAATGACATAATGTCTCTGAAAGCATAAAGTGGCCTATTGATCTGGAGCATTTTTTCCCTATAGATTTCAGAAAATAGTATTAGATTCCCTATAGATTTCAGAAAATAATATAATCAATAACTAACCTGGAGAGATGGCTCAGCAGTTAAGAGCACTGACTGCTCTTACAGAGGACCCAGGTTCAATTTCCAGCACTCACATGGTGGTTAACAACCATCTGTAACTCCAGTTCCAGGGGATACAATGCCCTCCTCTAACCTTTCCAGGCACTGCAGGACACAGGTGCACTTACATACATGAAAGCAATACACACATACACATAAAATTAAAATAATAAAATATTTTTAAAAATAACTAACGAGGAGATTCTAAAGTACTTTTATTTTCTGAAACAGGGTCTTGCTTTTAGTTGAGACTGGCCTAAAAGTCATGATCCTCCTGCCTCGGCCTCCTGAGTGCTAGGATTATAGACATAGTCCATTTCTAGCTCCAAGATGAATTATTTTCAGAAAAATTTTAAATTATTATTGTGTATGATGTATGTGGAGGGTACACATATGGAGGTCAGAGGACAACTTCTCAGAGTCGGTTCTCTCCTTTATGTGGGTTCTATGAGTTGAACTCAGGTCATCAAGATTACATAGCAAGTGCCTTACCCACATGAGCCATCTTGCGGGCCCAGATCTTAAACGTATCATAAGACTGACCTTTTATACACACCCTTATCAGTGCCTACAGTCCAACTAAACTTGTGAATTCTTTAAAAAAATTTTTTTAGACAGGGTCTCCCTGTATCCCCAGCTGGCCTGGAACTTGCTATGTAGAGCAGGCTGGTCTAGATCTCACAGAGTTACACCAGCTTCTGCCTTCCAAGTGCTGGGATTTAAGGTGTGTGCACCACGCCCAGCCTAGTGAATTTTTTTAAAGTTTTATTTTTATTTACGTATGTGTTTGTGTGCACGTGTTATCAGACGTGCACATGAGTGCAAGTGCCCATGAAGGCCAGCCGGTGTTGGATCCCCAGGACCTGGGTTGTGAGCCACCTAATATGAGTGCTGGGAACTGTTTTCTGCAAGAGTAGTACATGCTCTTGGGGCTGGAGAGAAGGCTCAGAGGTTAAGTGCATTGGCTGCTCTTGTAGAGCTCAGTTCCCAGAACCCACATGACAGCTAACAACCATCTCTAACTCCAGTTATCCCTCTTCTGGTTTATGCAGGCACTGCATGCACATGGTGCACTTACACACGCGCAGGAAAAACACTCATACACATAAAATGAAAATAAATCTTTTTTGGGGGGGGTCTTTTTGAGACAGGGTCTCCCTGTAGCCCCAGCTGTCTTGGAACTATGTAGACTAGGCTGGCCTTGAACTCACAGAGATCCGCCTGCCTCTGCCTCCCGAGTGCTGGGATTAAAGGTGTTCGCCACCATGCCGGCATAAAATAAATCTTTTTTAAAAAGCAGTATTTGCTCTTAACTGCTGAGCCATCTCTCCAACCCCTAAAGTGAATTCTTTTAAGATTTATTATTTTTAAAATTGTGTGTGTGTGTGTGTGTGTGTGTGTTCATGGGCATATGCATGTGAGTGCAGGTGCCTACAAAGGTCAAAGGCATCAAATCCCCCTAGAGCTGGTGTTATAGTTATGAACTGCCTTGGAATTAAACTCTGGTCCTCTGCAAGAGCAGTTCAAGCTCTTAACTGCTGAGCCATCTCTCTAGCCCCAGCTCTAAAGTAAATATTTTTTTCTTTAAAAAAAATTTTTTTTTAAATTTAATAACCACATGATTAGAAGAAGCATCTCATTACAGCTTTAACATATTCAGTAACACATTCCAGAGCAAGGATACATCGGTCATAAAAGAGGAGTCTGGTATGTGGAAATGGGTGTCACTTTTATTTTACGTTAGCACTCATTTCCATTATTTTATTATACTTTATTACCAATCACTTATCCCTAGTGCAAATCTTTGCTGCTATCTTTGAAAATCATTAGATAATGCTTTCATTCTTTTCTTCTTTTATTGAGACAGGGTCTCACGTAGCCCAGGCTGACTTTGAACTCAGTATATAGCTAAGGCTAGCCTACTCACAAAGATCCACCTGCCACCACCTCCCAAGTGCTGGGATTAAAGGCACGTGCCACCATGCCCAGCTTGTTTCCTACAATTTTTCCATTTTCTTTAATTTTATTTTATGTGTATGAGTGTTTTGCCTGCATGTGTGTGAGTGCAGCCTGTAGGTGCCTGCTGCCCTTGATACAGTTATGTAATATTGTATTCAGTATAGACCCTATAAGACATAAAATTAAATGATGTTTTAAACTTTAAAAAAGAACTCCATTTCATTATTTTCATACAGAAAAATTCATTTTCAATGCAATTGACAATAAGATGTTTACACATGTGTTTCTAATCTCTATATATCTGATTATGACTAGTGACAGTCAGTTGCACTTGGATC